TCATGTCTTTCTTGATGCATGCTTCATTTTGCCTTTAAAACACAAATTCAAAAAAATGCAGTAAATCTTAAATTCCATTAAAAACTATAACAAACTAATTCTAAAACTAGAAAGGCAGCCATAAAACTAGTTTAACCTAGCTAACATACAATTTTATTTTCTCAATAGGCTACTGACCAATATTAACACAATTTCACATTAGTTAACTTAATGTTAATATAAGATAAGCGTTGCTCGTTAAAAAATTATTTTAATTCGGTAATTCAATAAGCTGACAGAAGTCGTTTGAAACGACAGCACAGTTTACCATAGTAAAGTTTGTTACCGCCATGTTGACGGATAAATGTTACTAGGTTAAACTGGTGTGCAAAAATCTGACAAAAACACACAGACAAACGTACACATATTTTTACCTTGCTTGCTGGTCTTATTCTCTCATAAGTGCAGATGTTCTCCGGAACCCTTTCACTCGCACAGGTTCATCCCCGGGCAAAACCCGCTTCTTCCGTGTTCCATTGAAGACAATATAGAACCCATTATAATCCGTGATACTGTCTACAGTGGATGCTGACAGTAAAACTGATGCCCCGGTATTTTTCTGATGTACAGTAGTACTCCAAGTGCTTGTGCTGTTTCTGACATGAAGGGCCCTGCCCCTGCCCCGCCGACGGTAAAGTGCCCTTTCGGTCTGATCTATGCGCCCCCGTACCACAATTTCTACCAAGTGGGATAGAAATCCGAGCAACATCGATTAGCTCCTGCCCCTCCGGAGGTCGGTGCACGCCACTGATTACAAGCGATGTAACACGTCCAATATAGTCTGTCCCAAGCTGTTGCGGCGTTGTAGACATGGTGCAGGGCAAATCTTGTCAATCCAAATGTTAGAAATGAGTCAAATTAAACGACTTCAATGGAACGGCACCAAAGAGGCTGTTACGGCAAATACAGTAGTATACAGCAATTAAAAAAAAAATACAGTAAGTCTCTGTATGTGGGGTTTGACGTCACAGAAAATTCCCATGATGCAAAGGGTATTACAGTTACTTACTGTAAAGGGAATTTGCAGTATCATACTGGGTGATATACAGTAAATAACTGAAATTACAGAAATCTCTAATAGTGTTGGGGAGTAACTAGTTACATGTAACGGAATTACATAATTTAATTACAAAATAAATGTAACTGTAATCAGTTAGTTACTGAGAAAAAAAATGTGGTATTAAATTACAGTTACTTATAAAAATGTTAAAGATTACAAAGGGGGTTACATCTAAATATTTACACACACACACACACACACACACACACACACACACACACCCTCTCTGGAGTTCTCATTTTTAGATTTTCAAAAAACTTCATTCTGTGTGATTTATTAGCTTGTTTACCCGTGGGGACCTCAATTTAGGTCCCGACCGTGACACCAGTCCCCATGAGTCTGTGTGTATTCAGGTTTAAGTCCCCACCAGAATACAAAAACAGGTACACACACACACACACACACACACACACACACTTAATTGATTTCTTTCCCAAATTGCATTGACTGCTCTAAAATATGAGACACCAATGTTTCAGGAGATTATAGGACACAGAATGGGACACGTTTATATGATAACTCTTTTATTTCTTATTTTGGGTTTATGTATATGCTTTTTTTAAGATTAACTGTTAGATGCCTGTGTTTGCTGTCATAGCTATGCAAAGATTTTATTTCAAATAGAGTATCAAAGCTATTAAACTATTTCTTGTTATGGTTTTAAATCTATATTTAACCTCAGAACAATCTCAAAGTAAAAAGAGGTGCTTTTGTGGTGGATCAGCGCATCTTCTTCCAAAAACGAAAAGTAGCCTAGATGAACTTGAACCCTCATGTTTTTTATGGAGGTGATGTGTGTGTTTACATGTTTGCGTGGCTAACAGATGATTACCGCATGAATAGTGCACTGCGCATGGGTGTGACCACATTAATATTATAATGAGCTCAGACAGTTCATTGTTGTGATGTGCTTCAGAAAGAAGTTCATGCAGACCGAGACGACAGAAAGTGCACCCTGTTTGTTGTTTTTGTGAGTGTTCACAAATAAAAGTAGACACTTACCAGTGTTATACAAATTATGTATAACACTTATCTTTATGACCAAAATCGAAGGAGTATTTTGAGTCTCTTTTGCACTGATAAGAAAACAAGAGAGGTGGTTCTGCTGATGTGACCGCCACGCCCCTGGGGGTTAAGCAGTCGGCTCTTTTGTGAGCTATAGCGGCTTCCCCCACTTTTAGGGTTATTTAGTAGGTAGCCATTTCTCTTACAAAGGTTGAAGCTGCCTTCCCCTGATAGTGGGTCCCTTAAATAAGCAGCTCCCTTAGGTCTTTAAGTCGCAGCTGCCTTCCCCATGGTTGGGGTCCTTAAGCAGTTGGTTCCTTCATGAGTCATTGCCTCCCTCCAAGTTTCCTCAAGTAGCAACTCCCTGAAGTTGTGAAGTTTAACTTCCTACCCCAGTGCTCCCTTAATCAGGAAGTTCCTTCACAAGTATTTAGTGGAGCTTCTGCACTCCTAAGGGGGGTTTCCTTTCAGTAGGAACCACCCTAATACCAACAACCTTTAGTGTCGGGAAGCTCCTTTGTGTGTTACCAAAGTGCACACTTTCCCCAGATATTTCCGAACTCATTATATAGGTTTGATATTAAGGTTTTATCATGATAGACACCGATTTAACTGCGGTGACACACAACATGCCTGTATGTTAAAATTAAATAAAACCACTTCTCATAAAGAACAAGAATATGGTCTTCTTATTTATGAAATACCAATGGTTATATAGGCTAATTATGCATTCTTTATAGCAACTTGTTTACCATATTCTTCATTCTTTCAAGCAGACATATTTATTTCTATAAATAAATTTAGATTAATCTTTAGGGCTACTAAAGTTTTTAAGTCAAGAGCAGAGCGTGATTTTCTGTCTTTGTTGTTGCTTGATTAACATCAATGACTCCGACAATATCAACTAAATTAGGCTGCTGTCCCTTTAAAACCGAATGCACAGCTGCAATGGATGCAATGTACTGATACACATTCTCACTACTGTTTACGTTCACTTAAGACATAATCAACTGTGTTTACGTGAATACTTGTCAAAACGGACAATTTGACATCATTTTGTGTGTAATTCTCCATTCATGCGACGCGAAAGAGTACTCTGAATCTCTTCCCAAATCGTCCCTCCCCAACATTTCATCTTGTTTTTATTCGTTGCCGAAAATGTCAATAGATTTTCATCATAGTTTTTGTTATTCAAAAAGAGTTTTAGTTCGTTATCATCTCGTTGTCGTCGGTGAAAAAAATGTCGTCCAAATTAACACTAATACAAACAAGGTAAGTTAATGAAACACAGCTGAACTCAAGAACTAATCATATCAGTAACCATGACAACAAATGAAGAGCAGGAAAATCAAACAAAGGAACACAGGAACAACAGAATACAGACAAAGTCAATGAAACCGAAACTAACTGAAAGTAACTTTGACACAAATAAATAAATGTTAATATCACTGCTTATATACCTGGACATGGTTGACAGAGTTCGTTGATGTTGAGGTGTTGAGTCTGGTTGCTGATGGGATTGTTGAGCACACAGCTGTAGGTGTTGTTATCCTGATATTCCACCTCCAGAGGTAGAGAGAGACTGATGCTGAGATCAAACACACTGATGCTGGACAATAAACTGTTTCCTTTGTACCAGGAGAGAGTCACATGACCCATTTTCACCACTGAACACACCAGTGAACAATTTGATAAAGGTGATGATGATGATGATAAACATTGTGAAGAGTCTCTGCTGATGACAGGAACAGGCAGAGAAGCTGGAAACCATGACAAAATAAACAGAAATATGGATCAAATGTAGCTTCAAGCAGCAGTTATAAGGCCATATGAGCTACATTACACAAAGCACAATGCAGAGAATAAAATGAAGGAAGATCTTTAGTCTCCATATGAGATTCAAACCCACAACCTTGTGATTAGGAGCCAAGGGCTATCCACAGAGCCATACTTTCAACAACTTATGTACATTGGCAAACTGGCATTAATAGTTGAGACAAAAAAATGAGTGATATACTGCTGTTGCTTTTGCATGTTTTGAATTAATAAAATCATTTTGATACCTGTTGCACAGTACAGGCTTCAGGCTCAGAACAAGGTGGCAATAAAACCTACTAAGTTTCATTTTAATGCAGGTTCCGAAGAAACAAATCTTTCAGAAATCTTCATTTTTAAGGCCCTATATTATTCAGTCCCAGAGATAGCAGGATCTTTGTGCAGCTCCATGTCCAAACCCATTTTCAATTGTCAAAAACCAAATGTGATTTTTGTGTTTATCCAGTGATGAGTGTTGACATTGCAAATATGCAAGTAATAACAGTAACCCAGGGTTTAGGAATGTACATTGTGACACATGCATCAGACTATGAATAACCAGGAATTAATCATTAACTAAAATAAGATTACCCAGGATCCCATTTACACAGGGTTTAGAATTACTTAGTGTGATTTTTAGAGTTTCTGAAATTTGGTTGATCTGACACGGAATGACCCTATTGTAATTGAACAAGCACCCCTCTAATCTAATTACAACAATATACAGTATATGCCAAATCTGTGATATGTAATAGTGAGCTGTAATTGTCTACTCACCATACACAGTAGCATTGAATCTGTGTTTAGTCTCTGTGCTGCTGTTACTGATGGTCACTTCATAAAGTCCAGAGTCTGTGGTTCTGGTGTTTCTGATGGTCAGAGATCCAGTCTGACTGTCCAGCTTCAATCTGTCTCTGAATATCCCATCAGGAACATCAAGGATTTTTTTGGCCCCTCTATTGATTCTAGCTATGAGAGACCTGTTAGTTCCAAATGTCCACGCTATCTTATGATCTGTCTGTATTTCAGTAAGACTAGAGTTTAGAGTCACTGAATCTCCTTTCAGAACTGACTTTACTGTACCCGTTTCACCAAACACACCTGCAAAACAAACAGAAACAGATTCTCAGTCACACATATTAAAGTTAAGTTGAATGACGCTTTAACTGAAGCCGTTAACTGAAGGTAGAAAAATTGAAATGGTAAAAGATTGAAACAGCAGCATGGAACATAAATGGCCAGGAAATTTTATATATATATATATATATATATATAAATTCACACATCTTAATAAAGTGAAAATTTACAATTTTGGTTTAGTATAAATCTCCATGTTTCATTTATTGATGGTGGAACTGAAGTTCATTAGAGTACTACACAAATAACATGCAACATCCATCCATCTATTTTTCCACTGCTTATCTGGGACCAGATCATGTTTTATAACATGCAACAATAAATCATAAAACATGTCAATAACTTACCAACCAGACACCAAAAGCACAAACAGCAAAAAGCCAATGTGTGAAACATTTTCTTCAACACTTCAGAGTTTTGAAAGAGGATCAATTATGTTTGAAAACCTGAGAGCGCCAGCAGTAAAGTTGTGTAGCGAAAAAGCTGTTGACAGTGTTTGCTAACTTCCACCAGACTGAATTAGACCACATCTCCTCAAACACACTTCCTTTTACATTCACTGACACCAATTAATTGGCATATTTGAAATGCTGGTTGAGAAACAAGTTATCTAGACACACCTTAGTTCATTTATGTAATTTCATTACTTCATTAAATCTCTTATATACAAAATATATTTTTTAAATCTTGTAATAGGGCTGGGTGATATGGCCAAAAAATGCATCACAATAACATTTTCGTATCTGTTGATATCAAATGATAAATGTTGAATTTTTATTTATTTTATGTTTAAAGGCAGATATATTCTCTTGAGTGAAAGTTGTAGAAACCAGACAGTTATTTGTGTTACTTTTTTTTTTTTTTTTTTTCAGAACATGACAAACACTTGCCAAACAGGTGAACATTTCACAAATCTCAGGTACAATTTTCAAATAATTTATAACAATAAAATATATTTAAAAATATACATGAGTAAACGTAATTGTTTCAAATCATGAAACAGGTTTGTGTTCCCTGACTCTGATGGCACAAAGCAGATGTAAATTTGTTCATTAACAAAAGCAGTAACATCTGTAAAAATCGTCCACATCAGCTGAGCCATTTGGGACAGAACCAGTGTAATTGTGTACCATTGCAAAAGAAAACACCTCATTGCTTCCAGTTTGCCCACTTATTGAGAAAGGCAACAGAGTCATTTTCTATTCGGTGAGAAATGCAAACTCTCAATAATCATGTTCTATTAAAGACAAAAACAATCCTGTTATTTATTCCAGTCCAAGATTGTTTTGTTGAGGTCTTAAATTAATCACACAGCCCAATGAAAACGTAGAGGAAAAAAAAAAAAAAACACACACACAAAACATCACTGTTGCAAAACTGGACTCAAGCCTCCACACTCTTCACACATGTTCACTCAGTCAAGACACAAAGACAGAAGTAGATTTTTATTTTATTTTTTCACTTAAGACCACAGCGCTCTCAGATCATCTTTTTAAAAACTGCCCAAAACTGCTGGAAGATGATGTTTAAAGAAAAAACGTTTGTTGTCGTCTGGTTTGGCTTTACTTGTCTGGTTGGTAAGTTGCAATGTTTTTTGGTTCTGGTATAAGTTAGTGCAGATCAACTGAACACTATTTAAATCAGTCAGAGAATGTGCTCTTGCATTTTTCCTTAGATATTATGAGATGTAGTCTGGATTCAGGTTTTTACTAATTATTTATGTTTATCTCATGAATTTAAAGCTACGATGCTAAACATAACAGCTGTACTTTCAGTCAGATATTCCCTTTTGAGGTACAAGGCGTTTATATTTTCCCAGTAAGATGTTAATGTTCTATAACGAGCCTCAGTTCCACCTAGAATAAAAAAAAAAATTAAAAAAATAAATAAACCCAACTCGTGGTCCTTTCCCGAATCCATCTCATTCTCTCTCCTGCTTTGCTTACTGTCAGTTCTCTATACTATCCTCTCTCAATACAAGGTAAAGACTTAAAAATAAAAGGTTTTTTTAAGTTTACAAATGCTTTTTTTCAGGTTTATAAGATTACGTTTATAAGAATCTACTAAAATTCAGAGATCATACATCTTGTACATGTTTATGTACCTGGCCATTTATTTTCCATGCGGTTGTTTCAATCTTTTGCCATTTTTAAACTTTCCACCTTTCAAATGTTTGTAATTATTTCAAAACAACTTTAAACTTCAGTTAAAGCTTTATTAAACTTAACTTTAATATGTGTGACTGAGAATCTGTTTCTGTTTGTTCTGCAGGTGTGTTTGGTGAAACAGATACAGTGAAGTCCGTGTCAGTTCTGGAAGGAGATTCAGTCACTCTAAACTCTAGTCTTACTGAAATACAGACAGATCATAAGATAGCGTGGCATTTTGGGAATGAGAGATCTCTCATTGCTAGAATCAATAGAGAGACCAAAAAAATCCTTGTTTTTGATGTGAGTTTCAAAAACAGACTGAAGCTGGACAGTCAGACTGGATCTCTGACCATCGATAAAACCAGAACCACAGACTCTGGACTTTATGAAGTGTCCATCAGTAACAGCAGCACAGAGACTAAATACAGATTCAATGTTACCGTCTATGGTGAGTAGACAATTACGGCTCACTCTCTTCTTATTCTTTTTCTTCTTAGGCATGTATAAGTACCATCTTCACACAAAAGCCTTTTATTTTTGCATACTGAGGAAAAAAACATTAAGTTAAAAATATTCTTTAAGTTACAGACCTCAAAGCTTCTTTCTCACTTGAAAAAAAATAAATAAATTGAAAGTATTCAATTTACTGAAAGGACTTAGTACATCTCTAGTACATTACAGTACTGTCTCCACAGTAACAAATCATTGTCTCAATGACACAGGGGCCACTAATGCTTAATTGATTAAGTGATTGAACAGCCATTATTCCAACACACCCAGACCTTTTTAGGAGTTGTTCAAACAAGACATTTCCGTGCTCCATTTTCTATCAATATAATTGTTTCTCTGTGTTAACGTGTTGTACCATATGGCTGTATTCAGCAGAATCAAAATGAAGTGTTTCATTCAGATGGTCAGCATCACAAACGTTTTTATAGTATTCATTACAGATCAGACACATTTTTATTTCTCTTTATTTCAGCTCGTCTGCCTGTTCCTGTCATAAGCAGTAACTCCTCAAACTGTTCATCACCATCAATGTCCAAATGTTCATTTCTGTGTTCAGTGGTGAATGTGGGTCATGGGACTCTCTCCTGGTACAAAGGAAACAGTTTATTGTCCAGCATCAGTGTGTCTGATCTCAGCATCAGTCTCTCTCTACCTCTGGAGATTGAGTGTCTGGATGATTCTTACAGCTGTGTGCTCAACAATCCCATCAGCCACCAGACCACACATCTCAACAACACTCAACACTGTCCGACATGTTCAGTGAAAGGTAAACGTTGTGCCATCTTTTCACTGCAAATGCTTCATCTGAAGTCATATGTATACCATGAATATAATACTACAAGTCAGGGCTCACACCAAACAGAATCATCATTTTAACATTTCTGTTCTTGTGTTCCTTATTAAACCTTACCGTTTAATAAGATTATTTAGTTTTATAAGAAGACTTGAACACATTTCAACTTAAAACTGTCATAACACATGATAATTAACTCCCTGGGGTCGACGGTCACGCCAGCGCATCCAGCTCACTTTTTTTCTGATCAGTGCGAAAGACACTAAAAATACTCTGTCCATTTTGGTCACACTGATAAGTGTTATACATCATTCGAAACTGTTAAGTGTCTACTTTTATTTCTCTACACTCACAATAGCAACAGAACTTTGTGCTTTTTTAAAATAAAGAAATAAAAACAGGGTGCGCTTTCTGTCTTCTCTGTCTGATACAAATGAGCCAAAACTCAGCAAATACTTTACACACAGACATGAGAAATATGTCTATAGACAGGGCTGCACATAAGTGGTCCGCAGGTCCGCATGCGCGACCAAACTAAGAAATGCGCTGTGTAAATGAGTTCAGAGTGCGCGTTTGTGTACCGACATGGGCTGCGTTTCCCAAAATGATCGTAAGCCTAAGTACATCGTAGGCCCATTGCCACCTATGGAGCTACGATCAACTTAGGCTTACGATGCTTTTGGGAAACGCAGCCATGGTTGACAGCTGTTAATGCACAATTACCATTTTAGATCGACAAACTGTACTGTATAAAATGTCTATTCAAACTGAAAGCATAAATTTAGGCTAACGTTTTCAAAGCACAATGCAAAACTGTGACATTTCATTCACTGACTACAAAATAATTGTATTTGTATTTAATACTCCCTTTTTATTTTAAAATAAAATAGTACTATCACACTTTATTATTTAGTTTATTATTTTATTTTTAAAAAAACTAAATAAAGTGCAATAATATTATCACTATTATTAATTTATTTTTTATAGTTATATTTGATGGGTCACACCATGTGCCGCCGTGTGAGGACCAAACCAAATCTCCAGGTTCTCATATGAGAACCAGGCTGAAAAACTTATGTGCACTCCTGTCTATAGAAAGCTTGAAATGTCTACTTTTAAATTATGTAAATCATATCGATAAATATTCTGTGATAAAGTAATCTGTATGAAATCAACACGGTGTACAGTTTTTCCCATTTGAGCTCATTATCTGTAATGTGATCACACCCACGAGCTACATTCGCTTTTCATATTACAATCATCCATGTGAGACGTGCAACATGTAAACGCCCACATCACCTCCATACACAAAGCTTGTTTTTTTATTTTTTGTTTTTCAATGGAAGAGATCAGTTTTCAGTTGTGTCTTGAAAATTGAGAGGGATTCGGCTGTCCGGATGGAGTTAGGTAGGTCATTCCACCAACAGGGTACGGTGAAAGAAAACATCCTTGAGAGTGATTTTGTGCCTCTCTGCGATGGGACCACGAGCCACTACTCGTTTACTGACCGCAAGCTTCTGAAGAGGATATAGACGCATAGGAGAGAGCGGAGGTAGGAGGGTGCATAGACCATGGATGTTCTGTAGGAAAGCACCAATGTCTTGATCTTGATGCGATTCGCAACTGGAAGCCAGTGAGATGAGAAACAGTGTGACATTGGCTTTCTTGGGTTCATTGAAAAAAATGAATGATCAGTTGCAGAGGTCTGATTGCACATGTTGTAAGTCCAGCCAGAAGAGCATTGCAATAGTCCAGCCAAGAAATGACAAGGGCCTGGACAAGAAGTTGTGTTGCATGTTCTGTTAGGACTCTGTTCTGTGAAGGAATCTTCCTGATGTGTAGTGCAAACCTGCATGATCAAGATGTCTGTCAGGCAGTCTGAGATGCGTGCAGGTACCGTTGGATCCTCTGGTTGAAATGAGATGCAGAGCTGCATGTCATCAGCATAACAATGGTAGGGAAAACCACGTGCCTGAATGATGGGTCCCAGTGATGAAGTGTATTTAGAGAAGAGGAGGAGTCCAATAACTGATCCCTGAGGAACCCCAGTGATCAGTTGATGTGATCTGGATACCTCTCCTCCCCAAGTCACCCTGAAGGACCTACCTGTGAGGTAAGATTCAAACCAGTGGAGTGTAGTTCCGGTGATGCCCAGCGATGAGAGCGTGGACAAAGGATTTGATGATTTACAGCGTCGAACACAGCAGATAGATCTAGCAGAATAAGAACTGAAGATTTGGAATCAGCTCTTGTACTCCATAGTGTTTCAGTGACTGACAGCAAGGCGGTTTCAGTTGAATGCCCACTTTTAAACCCAGATTGGTTATTGGCCAGCAGACTGTTCTGTGAAAGGAAGCAGGACACTTGGTTGAACACAACGTGTTCAAGTGATTTTGCTATGAAAGGGAGGAGAGACACGGGCCTGAAGCTTTCAACAAGTGAGGTGTCTAGTGTAGATTTTTTAAGTGGGGTTACCCGAGCCTGCTTGAATGGAGTGGGAAAATGCCTGTGAGAAGAGATGTGTTGATGATGTGTGTGAGTGAAGGCAGAAGTGCAGGAGAAATAGCTTGTAGGAGACGTGGGGGATTGGGTCTAGAAGGCAGGTGGTAGGGTGGCTGGAGAGGATAAGTTTAGAGACTTCCTCTTCTGTAAGATGAGACACAAAACAAAGAATTAACAGCCTAAAAAAAAACATACTGACCTGCTTTCTGTCAGTATGTTCTGTCATTAATTAATCAACCTCATGTTGTTCCAAACCCGTAAGAACTTAAATCATCTTCGGAACAAAAATAAAGATAGGTCTAATTGTAAAGAAATCAGAAGTTTCTGTACCTTCATTGACAGCCTACACAAAATTATAGCTACATTTCTCACTTAAATGTAGTTCTTTAATGGATGACAGTGGCCGCTGATGGAAAATTTTCTAGGTGAGGTGCCACGTCCAACAATTTTAGCATACATCCCAGTATGATTTATCCCAGTATAACAAAAGGAAAATATTAAGACTTGAAACATTTTAAATAAAGATAATTGTTTTACCAAGTTTAAGATTAAGTTTGAGAATGATTCTCACAAAAATTAAGCGTTAGCGTTAGTTCTGGCAGGTCACGTGAGTCAAGCTTGCATCAGCTGATTCTCAGCTGATCACATCTATCATTTTGACGATAGTGGTCCTGACAGAACTATATTTCTGTCAGGACCACTATCATCAAAGACAGTAGTGACAATTGGCATACAGTTTGGATTGGTGGTATGATTCTCTTCTGGGCAAGAACTCCCTGCGCATCCATGCAGCCTAGCATGGATGAGAGCAGGGAGAGCAGTAATAACCCCTATACGGTAAACAGAACAGAACCAACATAAATGTATTGCAGATATCATTAACATTCATTAATTTAATGTACATATTTAAAAAAATTAGTCTGATTCAAAGGAGAATCAGAAGATTGAATCTTGACACGATGAGAGGAGGAGCTGGGGATGGAGGAGAGTAATTAACTATTGAGCAATGCGAAAGCTCCTGATAAGGATAAGGATAAACTTTATTTGTCCCCGAAAGGAAATTTGTCTTGGGCAAAGTGCTACAGTGTTGTTCTGAACAGACAAAAACAATAAATAAAAAAGATTTTAAAAAATAATAATAATTAAAAAAAACAACAACAACAATGTATTAGTATAAAATGCAAAATACATACAGTGCAAAACACAATAAAGTGCTAATATGCTATATGGGCATTGTTTTTGGTAAAATTCAGCATTTTTATCGAGGCAGGAACAAATGAAAGCTTCAGTCCATTAGTTTTACACATTGGCATTCTTAGTCTCTTTCCCGATGGTAATGACTGGTATTCGCTCAAAAGAGGATGTTTGGAATCAGTACTGATACTTAATGCTCTTCTCATCACTGCCTGTTCATATACAGTCTGTATGGGCTCATATTGTTTTATTCCTATGATTTTCATAGCTGTTTTGTGAAATGAGCCCAGTGTGTTTTTCAGTTGAACAGACAAGTTTCCAAACCAGACTGTAATTCCGTAGCGAATAAGACTTTCAAGCGTGGCTTGGTAAAAAACAAGCAAGATATTGCTACCCACCCCATACAGTCTCAGCCTTCTTAAAAAATAAAGCCTCTGTTGTAGTCGTGTGCACAGACTGTCAATGTGTGTCTTCCAACAAAGAACATTGTCCATATAAAACCCCAGGTATCTGTAAGATGTCACTTGCTGTATCACTGTGTCTTTAATGATCACAGGCTTGTGTTCAGATACACTTCTTGGGTCAAGGACCATTTCTTGTGTCTTTTTTACATTTAACGCAAGACAGTTCTTGTGTCTAATAGTGGCTCTACTTCTTTTCCCAGCAATGAGATTACAAATTTCTCAAAACACTTCATGACATTTGAAGTCAAAGCCACAAGACGAAGATCATTATTTGCTCTAGCACCAGGTTTTTTAGGAATTGGTGTTATGTATGACTTCTTCCACAGAGCTGGCACAGTGTGGGTATCAAGAGATCGCTGAAATAAGGGACACCAAGCTATTGCAAGCTCTTCAGCACAGTTTTTTAACAAAAAAAACTGCTAACCCATCTGGCCCAGTAGCCTTGTTGGTGCGCAAGCACCTGAAAAGGTGCTGCACATCACATGGGTCTACTTCTACCCAGGGGGTATCTTTGGTATCAGGCAATGATTGCAATATGCTATGACATTCCTCAAAGTCATTTTGTGCCTGAAATCTCAAATAAAACTCATTTAGCTCATTTGCTCTTTGTAGGTTGTCCAGTGTTGTAATATGTTTCTTAGCAGGGTTCAAGTTAGTAACCAATTTCATTGTTTCCCAAAGTTTTCTTGTGTTAGAATGATAAAAAACTGTGTTCCATAGCTTGCTTGTGCTGTTCCTTTGCTTTTTTCAAATTATATTTTAATTCTTTCTGTGCCACTAATAGTCCTACCTTATCCCTGTTCCTAAATGCCAGCTTGCTTTTTATTATTTATGCACTCTTTAATGTCCTTTGTAATATATGGCTTGTTGTTAGGATAAACAACAACATCCTTTTTTTCTACCACATTATCTACACAAAAGTTAATGTAATCACTTATTGTTTCAGTGGCCTCATCAAGCTCTAATTGGTGCACAAAAAAAACAGCCCTTAAGTTTTTCCATAGAATCTTCTGTCCATATATTAACCGTTTTGTACTCTGGTTTACATGCCTTAAAAACGGACCTATAAGAAGGAATCAGATGTAGAACATTATGATCCGAATTGGAAAGAGGGGGCTTTGACTTGATAATACTGAAGGACCTTACATATGGATGCTGTGATAGGTGTCGTATCCCTATAGGTAGACGTGGATCAGCTGAGAGTCAGGTGATGTGAGCTTGACAAACGTGACCTGCCAGAACTGACGCTACGCTTGATTTTTTGCAAGAATTTTTCAAGAAAAATAAAAAATGTAATTTTCATAATTTACAATTTATGTACACAGTGCAAGAGTAAAAACTTTAGTAAAAAAATTTCATTTATTTAGAGCAGTTTCGATAACTAAAAGTCAAGCTGCAATACCAAACATGACCACACGGAGATGCCAACAGACCACTATAACAGTCGCCTTAACCTGACTGTATATAAATATGTATGGATCCATTCAGAATTATTACGGAGCAAAACAAAATTAAAAAATATTACGAAAATTCTGAATTTGTCGAATGTGGTGATTTGAAGATGGCTCAACATGACCAGCGAACAGTTCCTCTGTCAGAGTGAGTGCTGGTGCCCATATGTATATAAACACCACTGACCACTGCAAACTCCTATAAAAACACACTTCTTCAGTGGGTGCCATTATAAAACACTTGCCAGACATGCGGCCATACTGAAAAGTGCTCATAAAGCTATCAGAGAGCGCACAGTGTTCAGTGTGCTTAACTTTTTTTGCAAAACAGCTTGCTTTAGAAATCACACGATTGCTCATTCAATGCATTGTCAACTGCTAACTGCAAGGCATAAGCTGAACACATCGCACTGCACAATCTCTGTCCTTATATCACCGAATCAAGTTCAATTGGCAAATCCACACTTGCCTTGGACCTCAGCTAGCTCATCTTCATCCATTCCTGTCCCCATGGGATCAGTTTCACTTCATTACACTGGGTGCCCTCTACATATCCCATAGTAAAGACACTGCACCGAGTATACTTGTCAGAATTCGACATTATGACATCCTTCATAACCGATGAAATGTATTTGGCTGTGTGTTGTTCAGTTAGCTCCCTTATGGCCAAAGAGCACAGTCTTTTCTCCGTCAGTGCACCATACACTTATCCCAAAACAAATCGGTCTCTGTATGTAGCTGAACCAATTTTAAGCATTAGTAGCCTTCTCTTTAACTCATTCTTGAGCTCTTTTTCTTAAGCCAGTAAAAGAAATGGTCTTCCTGACAGTTACTAGCTCTAAGAATGCATGTTTGTGAACATTTTCTAGAGAAATGAAAACAGATCGCTCCACAACAATTATTTGCACTTGCACAAATTCGCCCAAATTTACTTTTCAGGTCACATAGATTACATTTTAGGAGAATATGCGACCAAAATGGTAACAACGTCAAGACTTATATGCGACTACATCTTCACACAGAATGGAAAAATGTCATTGAAATCAATTTTCAATGAACTACAAAGACATTGACAGCCAATCATAATCCATTAGCATTAGCAGCAGACAGCCTAACGGCAGTGCACACCTAAACAAAATGTTATCATGTGTTAGTTTGAATGCTAATATAGTTATTATTGTTATAGTCATCGTAATAGTTACCGTTCTTGGTGTGAACGGATCTTTACTCAGCTGAGCTGATGTTTATTGATAATAATTATGATGTTATAGACAGACACATTCACTCACACTAATGGCTCTCTTCAGCATTATAGCACCAGGCTCACAGTTTCCTTCTCATTTTCCAGGCTCAGTCTCTCTGATAGTGTTGATCTCTGCTGCTGCTGGATCTCTGTTGATTGTAGCTGCAGTCAGGATCTACTGGATCTACAAGAAACACAGAAAAATAGACCAAGAAGGCAAGTGCTATCTACTGATGCTGTGAAAATAAGTATTTAAAAAAGTATTTAATAAGGATATACTTTAGTAATAAACATGAAATAAAATTTTTTTATAAAGAAAATAAGTTAAGATTTGTTGTTTTAATGCATCTGTTATTATTGTTAAAACAGTCCAGACTCGTACAGAAGAGATCATTTACACTGATCCAATGTTCCACAAGAGAAACGCACAAAGAGCGGTAAGATCTTTTATACCTGTCGTGCTTTAGTGACCATCAAGGCTCTTGGCACAGTTGGTCTTTATATGTCTCATACAGCTACCATGAGAACCACAGAATAAAATGAAAAGAACAACTTTCAAACTGCTAACTTATTTTCTATAAATTACATAATTTGGTTATACAATGAATTACCAAACAGATACGTATTTATTCGCTGTTACTGCTATTACTTACTGATTAGTTAATCTTGTTTCCATATTAGGTTATTGTGGTACTACTCATTGGTCCTGCACTGCTTCCTACAGTTACCTATTAATGATGGACCATTATTTCACATTTTTAAAGGGGTCATATGATGTTGCTAAAAAGAACATTATTTTGTGTATTTGGTGTAATGAAATGTGTTCATGCAGTTTAAGGTTCAGAAAACACATTATTTTCCACATACTGTACATTCTGTACATTCCTCTATGCCCCGCCTTTCTGAAACGCGTCAATTTTTACAAAGCTCATCG